CCCCCCCCCCCCCCCCCCCCCCCCCCCCCCGTTTCTTCTGAAGCCCACAGAGGAAACTGACTGGTCTGGAATGGCTCAGCCCACCCAGAACTGACAAAAACCAGGGTCAGAGGTAGGGCTGGGTGGTTTGTTCACTAGCCTGTATCTTTTCTGGAGTTTCACTTCCTATGCCTTTAGGACTGGAGTGAGGACAGGAGGGCAGGGAACAAGCTGGTCCCCTGGGATTCTAGTGTTATCACTGCCCATCCCTCCTCCTGACCAGCTGGGAAACAAGTTCCCAGGAAGCCAGCCAGTCCCTCAACCTTGTGAAGGGCCAGCCCCACCTCCTGGGGGCCCAGCCTGCATAGCCCCATGACTCCTTTCCTATCTCCAGCTCCTGGGAAGCAGACAAGGCCAAGAGGGTTTAGCAGTTCTTCCTTGCTACCCCCAAACTCTTTCCTGCTTTGCTAAAGGAGGAGGCGGGAGCGGGGGAGGGACAGGGCAGAGTGACCTTGGGAAGATAAGTCCATCCAACCTTGGGAAAGTAGGGAGTGTGCCGAGGGCAGGGGTGGGGTGGGGGTGAGGCTGGGGGGAACTTAGCAGTGGGGTGCCTTGGAGATGGGGACTGTGAGTTTTCAGAGCCTCACGCGGTCAGGAGGAGTAGAGTGTGCAGGTGGCAGAGGGGAGCTGAACAGCTGCAGGGAGGCTCGCTCCTCTCATCTCCGGGGAAGAACATGTTTGAGGCTACACTAGGAGTCATGAAATGACACCACATCAATGGGACCTGGACTCGAGGGGGGCTTATGGCTCATTCATTCCCGAACATATGGTAAGCATTCATTGCCAATATATAGCTGCAACTATTTGTCTATAATGTAGAATTCAAGACACGCAAATCTTCTGAATAAATGTCGCAGGGATATAAATCAGGGACCCAAAAAGCTTCCACAAGAAGATAAAGAAAAAAGAAGAAAGAAAAAAAAAAAAGACTGTCCCAACAACGAGGAAGCTCATAACCTTATCTCCCTACCTGAACAACCTTGCTGGAAGCCACTCAAATCCAAATCCTTTTTTAATGAGGTGGATAAGTGGACAGATTTATTAATGAAGATGTATACAAAAAGATAAGACCGGATTCTTTTTGTAGTACAATTTTCAGTCTAGACATTAGTAAAGAGGGGATACAAACATGGAATGGACAAAGTACCAATGGGACAATAGCAGTCTCAGCTGGGGGTAGGGTATTTAGGCAGGTGGATGAGCAGATGAGACTGATCAATTCTCCAAGGTCATTGAGCTGTGGTGAGCCAGCTTGGGCTGTCTTAACCTTGGCTCACTGTTCATTTCTCCATCTGTTCCTTCTCTGGGGCTGAGAGAGGGGTTAGGGCTGGTGCTGGGCAGGTCCCAAGCTCAATATAAGGGCATCTCTGCTGCATGTTTCTGCCCAGAAGAGATGCTTGATCTTGAAGTATTTGGATAGGGATAACAGTATTCCTAATCCCCTCTCCCAAGTGTGTGTGTGTGTGTGTGTGTGTGTGTGTGTGTGTGTGTGTGTGAGAGAGAGAGAGAGAGAGAGAGAGAGAGAGAGAGAGAGAGAGAGAGAGAGAGAAGGGGCTTTCACATCTTTCTGCAAACATCTCTTTGAGCCCCTCATCTCCAGTGCTGAGAGTTTTACCTTAAGACCTACATTCCTCCGGCTGCTATTTAAGACCATCACATCTCAGGACATGCCTGGGCAGCCTGCACTTGTGGAGTAACCAGGGGACTGTGGGGCGGATGTGCATGGAAGCAAAGCTGAGAAGGAGGCCACCCCGACCTGTCACCCTCTATTGCCAAGGTTTATAGCCCACTGCCTCCAGTGTGCACCCCACCCCCCACTCTTTCTTCCCCTGCCCTCTGCAGAAGGGTTTTAAATGGTCTCCAGTTAACCTCCCTAGCTCTGCCCACATATCCCTTCAAGCCCGAGCTCTTAGCTGTGTTCAAATAGGAGCTATCTGATTCAGGCGGTTTTCCCCCAGGTGTGAATTCCTGGCTGACAACCTATGGACAGCGAGTGGCAGCTCTCTCCTCAGGTGGAATGAAGTGGGCAGGGCAAAGAGGCTGCTGACAGTGTGCAGAACTCCCCATCAGGTCTCTACCCACCAAACCAAACATCACCCCCTCCGTCCCGCTGTTGGTTATACCACGCTAGCACACGGGGCTTGGCTTGGCGCCACCTCTCTCTGGGAAAGCCAGCTACCCTGGAGCAAGAAAAGGGTCATCATCACCTATCTGCCAACAAGGCAGAGCAGCTCCCAGCTCCTTCCTCCAGCTGTCTAGCTCAGGGAAACGGGAGGGGGAGGGGAGCAGGATAGGAGGGCCCACCTCAGCCATCTAAGCAACAATTTCTCATTTTACAGAAGAAGCTGAATTCAGAGGCTCGGTTCCAAGACACTCTAGTACCTCGTGGCTGTTTTGTCCTTCAGATGGCCCCTGCTTTGTATTGGGGCTGTCCAGGTTGCAGCCCACTAAGGCCACATCCTTCCTTGATACGATCTACTTTTATTACTTTTATTTAGAATACTTTTTTTAAAACAGCTTTCTTGATCTTTTTTTCCTACTAATTTCTTCCTTGTTTCCCTTTGGGCTAGGTTTATTGAATTTTAACCTTGGCCTCCTTGGTGACAGCTACCTTCACCTAAATTCCTTTAAGGGTTTATTAATGAAGATGCCCAAGGAGGGATACGACTGAATCCGTGCTGTGATGCAATTTTCAGTCTATGGGACACAGACTTGGAAAGGGAAGGGGGGGTGGATATCAGTCTCAGGGGTAGGACTGAGAGACTGCAGCACCTGGCTGTGGGTTGAGTGGGGCTAGTTCCCTCTTCTTCACCCTCCCCCCAACTCTACCCCAGGTCTTTTGTGTTTGGGGTGTATCTCCTGACCTGCTCTTCTGCTCCCCAGGGCTGTGGGTAGCCCCCTGGTCATGGATCCTACCAGCATCTGCAGGAAGGCCAGGCGGCTAGCAGGACGGCAGGCTGAGCTGTGCCAGGCAGAGCCGGAAGTGGTGGCAGAGCTTGCCCGGGGCGCAAGGCTGGGGGTCCGAGAATGTCAGTTCCAGTTCCGTTTCCGACGCTGGAACTGTTCCAGTCACAGCAAGGCCTTTGGGCGCGTCTTGCAGCAGGGTTAGTGTGTGAGAGGCCCCGGAGGGAGGTGCTTTTTCCTTGAAGGGCTGAGGGGCAGGTTTGGGGAAGCTGCTTGAACCCTATCTCCGTTTTACCCATAGGCATTCTGTCCACCTTGCCCCTCCACACCTGTCTCCCAGATAGCCCAGGACAGGCTGAGGAGGGGGTTCCTATTTCCATCTATGATACTGGGCACTCACTGACCTCGGCTCCGTCCTCCCTCCGCAGACATTCGAGAGACAGCCTTCGTGTTTGCTATTACTGCAGCCGGCGCCAGCCACGCGGTCACGCAGGCCTGTTCCATGGGAGAGCTCCTGCAGTGTGGTTGCCAGGCACCCCGTGGGCGAGCACCACCTAGGCCCACTGGTCTTCTGGGCACCCCTGGACCTCCCGGACCAGCAGGTTCCCCAGAAGCCAGCGCAGCCTGGGAGTGGGGAGGCTGTGGAGATGATGTGGACTTCGGGGATGAGAAGTCAAGACTCTTTATGGATGCTCAGCACAAGCGGGGACGTGGCGACATCCGTGCACTGGTGCAACTGCACAACAATGAGGCGGGCAGGCTGGTGCGTATGGGCAGGAGCTGTAGGTATCATGCCTGAGTGTGGAAGTGTGGGTGTGCAAGAGAGCGCCAGTGGGGGTGGCAGAGTGGGGGTGGCAGAGTGGGGGTGGCAGAGTGGGGGTGGCAGAGTGGGGGTGGCAGCATATTTGTGGTAGCATGGGTACGAGTAAAGGTGTGATTGTAGGATGGTGTGTGTGTGTGTGTGAGAGAGAGAGAGAGAGCAAGACAGGGAGAGCTGGGAAGACTGAAACTTGGGCAGGGACACGGACACACATGGCAGGTGAGATGTCCATTCTAGAGGGCTGGGGGTGGGGGTGCTGAGAGGAACAGTGAGCAGAGTTGGGGGATAGTTCGTCTAGAATAGTACTGAGGGCCAGTAGAGCCCCAAGGAGGGGTGCGCATCCCTCTGAAACATGACGTGGATGTCAAGGCAGGAGCATGGTTCTGAGAGGCTAGAAATGAAATTAAGACTAGAAGCCACGGAAAGGTCTGAGGTCTGGTGGTAGAGGTGCCAGAGAAAGTGAGGGTTAGAATGGGGCCTAGAACTGACTTGGAAGGGGCTGAAGGATCATGAGTCCAGTGGGAAATCGGCAGAGGCCAGGACGGCCCAGACCCAGCTTCAGACCAGCAAGCAAGGGAGGAGAGAGAGTACGGGACCCTGTTCTCCTTAGTGCATTCAGGTGGAGCCTCCTACATTCTACATCTCAGTTCCTGAGTAGCTGAAGAACATCCCTCCACACATTCTGTGTCCTTTAGGGCTCAGCCCAAGGCGTCAGGCAAACTGGGAGGAGGGGACCTAGGAGAGAAATGTCCGGACAGGCCCACATACCTGTTGAGAGGGTTGGGGAGGGGTGACAGAGACAGACGCCCAGGCGGCTGGCTGTGTCTGCTCAGCTCTGCCTGGGGCCGCGAGGGGCAGGAATGAGGAGGCTGGGTTGGCAGGAGGGCTAGGCTGCGACAGCTGCCACTTCTCCCCACTCCAGGAAGAATGAAGAATCTCACCACTGCGTCCATTCTATTCTCTCCCGCTCCCTGGCTTCGGACCCGGAATTTCTGCTCTGCTGTTCCCACTTTCCACTCTCTTACTCTTTCATCTTTGTCATTCTTCCTCCCTCTAAGCGGTCGTTTTCTGAATTTTCTCCTTCTAACCTTATGCCTACCTGCCTGCATCCATCCATCCTTCCTTCCTCCCTCCCTCCCTTCCTTCCCCCCTTCCTTCCTGAACCCCCTCCTTCCCCACCCTCTGCTTCCTTTGCTTTCTGTTGGTCCCCTGCTTCTCTCTGCCCCGCCTATCGCCCGCCCCTCTGCTCCTGCAGGCGGTGCGGAGCCACACGCGCACCGAGTGCAAGTGCCACGGGCTGTCGGGTTCGTGCGCTCTGCGCACCTGCTGGCAGAAGCTGCCTCCGTTCCGCGAGGTGGGCGCAAGGTTGCTGGAACGCTTCCACGGAGCCTCTCGCGTCATGGGCACCAACGATGGCAAAGCCCTGCTGCCCGCAGTCCGCACGCTCAAGCCTCCAGGCCGAGCCGACCTCCTCTACGCCGCCGACTCGCCCGACTTCTGTGCCCCCAATCGGCGCACCGGCTCTCCGGGCACGCGCGGCCGCGCCTGCAACAGCAGTGCCCCGGACCTCAGCGGCTGCGACCTGTTGTGTTGCGGTCGCGGACACCGCCAGGAGAGCGTACAGCTCGAGGAGAACTGCCTGTGCCGCTTCCACTGGTGCTGCGTGGTGCAGTGCCACCGCTGCCGCGTGCGCAAGGAGCTCAGCCTGTGCCTCTGACCCGCCGCCTGCCTCGCCTCTGCGCGCAGCCCTCTTGGCAATCTGCGGGACCACTGGATTCCAGCAGGCGGCGCTGTCTGGGCCCAGCTGCTCTCTCGGGAAAATACATATCTAAGCCTTGAGACACTTGCAGGGGCTGGGAGCTTAAGGTTTACACGTGCCTACGAAGGCTTGAGGACCCTGCCCCTCCAGCATTCCCCAGAAGGGTCCTGTGCTGTTTTTCTTTTTGCTGGAGACTATGCAAACTCTCCCTCCCTTTGGCCTCCCAGATGGAAATAAACAACAACAACAACAACCACAAAACAACAAAAACAAAACACAGACTCTGGCCTCTGGAGATGGTACTCCTCAGAATTACTGGGTTGGCTGGGCAAGTTAAGTATCAATAAAGACATTTAAACCAATGGACAGGACCCACAGTTTGAGGGAAGGTAGCCTTAGAAGGCCAGGATATGGAAGGGAGGTGGTCCTGATAAACTAGCATTTTGGACTGAATCTATAATCCCACCCATCACCAAGGCAGGGGAGGGTGAGGGAGGGCTTCTGGAAACGCTGTCTCTCTCCTTTGGCACCCTTTTGTTAAGTTTTATCCACACCAAGCACCTGAATCTTGAGGACAAGTGAATCCATTTTAAAGGGACATAAAGGGTCCAGAAGCTTCTAGTAGTGTGCTCAGTTGTCAGGCCTTTGTGTTAATTTTTAGGGCATTATGCCTATTTCTGTGACTCCTGAGAAAATCAAGGGTAGACTTTTGGGGTCATGAGAGTAAAGGTCTTTATAAACTAAAATACAGTGGAACTGTTGTCAGGGGCACCTGCTTTTGTTACAGACAAAACTAACCATGCAGCAGCTCTAAACAGACGTCCAAACAGACATCCAGGCTGGTCTGGAGATCACCCAGTCAGGGAAAGTGCTTGCTTTGCAAGCACAAGGGCTGACCCTGAGTTCCATCCCCAGAATTCACATTAAAAAGCCCAACATGGCCAGGAGCTGGTGACTCATGCCTTAAACCCCACCCCTCCAGAGGCAAGTGGAACTCTGAGTTCAAGACCAGTCTGGTCTACAGAGTGAGTTCCAGGATGGTCAGAGCTACACAGAGAAACTTTGTCTCAAAAAAAAA